TTTTCATTTTGGGGGGTGCTACTCTTAAATAGTATTCATTTTGAGTTTTACTTCAAATTGTTTGTTGCTAGTGCATAAACAATTGATTCTTGTATACTAATTATCCTGCAACGTTTACTAATTGCAATTGAATTCCATTTCTAGTTACTTTTTGTAATAGCCAAAGTTTTGCGACAAAGACTATGATGCTATTTGTCAATAAGACAGCTTCACTTATTAAGGAATAATGGGGATGCTTTTTATTTATTTTCTTGCCTATTGCACTGGTTACAATCTCTAGAACAATGTTAAATGGAAAAATAATTATTTGATGGTATCACTCAGATATTTTTCCTACATTAGAGACAAAAACAAATAACCACAATGAATTTTCAAATAATGAAATAGTATTAAAATATTAGAGTATAATGTATTGAATTCAGGATTACATGATTTCAACAATAAAAAAGTAAAAAGTGAATCTAGAACAGATAAACTTTAATATTTTTTTACTTCAAGAAACATTAATTTCTAAAAAGACTGCAATTAAGAACATATCCTATGAAAAGCATTGTGTTTGGAATTTATAGTCAACATTACTACGCATTCTATTCTGTAATTGTAACGCCCATAGTTGTCTAATCTTTTTATTCAACATAAAAAGAATGTCCATACCCAACGCTGGCCCACTCCTTTACTTGAATTCATCTATTGATTGATTGGACTTTGTCAAGCAAGAGGGCTGTTTTGGTTGTTTTGAGCTTTTTTATTTTGAAGAAGCCCAAGGCAGGAACTTCTGAGACAGTGACTATGGCCCTTACCACACCAAGAGGACAGCTGGACTGCATGAGATTGCTGGGGCTTCTTTCTCTTTAGAACGTGTGGAGGCTCTTTTGCGATCCTCTGGCGACTAATACTGTTGGGAAAGTCGGAGGAAAGCCTGATATTTGCTTTTTCCACTGGAGTGACAATAAAAAGTACCAGTATTGATTCTTAAGGTATAATAACTTTACCAGCATGTCTTTGTGTTGACTATTTTGCAGTTTGTTTCTGGGAACTGTACGTCCTCTTAAGCAGTAGACACAAACCTTAGCTTAGTACATTTTCCTTTCTTTGTACACCTCTTAATAATGTTTCTGATCCATTTGTTCTCTTCTTTCCCAGGAAGATTAAGTCATACCAATATGCATCTCTTTTATCTTCTCTATGTATCATGTTAAAAATAGTAATAGTTCTTAGATCATTACTTTTCCATGTTGATTTGCTCTAGATTATCCACCAGGAATTTAGTTACTTAGCAAGTACTTATTAAAGCGAGTGCTGAGCACAATTCTCATACTGGAGAAAGAGCAGCAGACAAACATGTAGCCTTCATATGGCTTAGGTTCCAGTGGAATACACTACCCCTGGCTTCATTTTGTTTGCTATTAATCTTTTTGTTGTTTTTAAGACGGTTTTCCTTTCGGTAACATTTTTCTTGTTCTTTTATTTTCCTAAGCTTACCTACTTTTTCCTTTTCTTCTACTGGTTTATCTTCATTTAGCAAGCTTACTCGAAAGGAGATACTATTGTTTTCATTTCACAGAGGCTCTGGAATGCTGCCAGTTTTTCCTATAAAAAACAATATGGTCACTTGTTTAATGATGCTTATACTAGACCCATCTACGTCCTTTTTGTCTGCTTGTTTATTTGGAAGGTTATACAGATATCTCTCCTTCTACAATTTTTTTCCTCCTGTGGCTTCTGCGACATCAGTCTCTAATTCACCTGCTCCTTCCCTCACATGGTCCTTCCGGGGCTCCTTTTCCTCTGCTCCTTCCTTCACATGCTGCTGTTCCATGACAATTCACTCTTGGCTCTGTTCACACGCTTGCTTCCCCAGTGACTTCAACAGAGACGTAGATAGTATGCACCCTCGTCGTACGGTGTGTTAAACACTGGGCCGCACTCCAGGGTGGACCGACGCGGCAGCTGCTTCTGTGAGGACGACAGCCTTGGAACCACGTAGAAGTTCTACGCGGGCCTAGCAGGTCACTGAATGTGAAATTCACTAGACAGTAGGGTGTTTTGTTTGTTCGTTTAATACTAATGACAAATCACTTGTTTTTATTTACCAGTCTCTGGGGCCTACAACAGTGCTAAATCTAGAATAAAAGTTCCATTTTAAAAAACTGTTGAACGAGCAGCTCCCATCTATAGTTGATCCTGAATCTTGGGGTGGGCTTGTCCATGACACATTCATCTTCGCTCACTGGCCTCCCCTTTACCTGGCCAATGTAAAAAATAAAGCAGACAAACAAATAGCTTCTGAGGAATTATGCGTCCATCCGTCCAATGACCAGTGCATTTTCATTCTGCCTTAGTACACAGTGCTCGCATATCTGAATCGACAATCAGGACTCTGGCTTTCCACCAATGCTACGGCACTCTCTTGTTCAGTGGTTCTTAACTGGTGCCTCCAGTCAGAAAGTAACACGTACCTTTCTAACCTCAACTGAAGAAGTGCGGGAGCCTTGGGTGGTCCGAATGGCTGAGGACACAACAGACATGCCGTGAGTGGAGTCCAGAGAGGTGTCATGTTGGGCGCTAGTTAGGAGTCCCACGCAGCAAAAACTTTCCAGCCTACAATGCCCAAATTGCTACGGGAACAACGCATCTATTACTTTTTAAGCCACAAGATGGCAATGTGCTCTAAGAATGTTTTCTAAATGTCCAAACAGGAAAACATGCTTTTTGATGGGAAATGATGAAAAATACTTTGAAATGAGATGGTGCAGTCCAGTGGTCATTTGTAATGGAGCTTGTGAATGACTGTCTCCACGTGAAAATAAAAACAACGTGGCACACAAAGTCCCGTGCGATGCGAACACCCTCATTCCGCTGAAACGAGCAGATCTCACGAACTCTTCATTTCTCCAAAAGCCCATCTTTTAGGAAGCCAAGCGATGACAGTGGCAGTCACGTGCGGTAGCACACGACCAGAGCTCTGAGGGGTGAGCTTAGCCACCAAGCGAGGGTCACTTCGAAAAGTCCATTATAAGCAGCAAGTCTCATTTTCCAGAGTGGCTTACTGTATATACTCGAGTATAGGCCACGTTTTTCTGCATATTTTTATGTTAAAAAAGTCCCCCAGTTTTTTGTGGTAAAATTTGGTGCCTCTGCTTATACTCGAGAATATACGGTATATATTAGCTTCTGAAATGTCCTCTATTTGCTTCAAAGAATGGAGACAAGAACCACTGACAGGTCCCACTGGGACAATGTAAACTATATAATAACCTGAAACTAAGTTGTGATATGCTTATTTATGAAACCAATAATTTATCATCATATCTTTAAACAAGGGATTATTGCTTGTTTTGAAGGCTTACTTAATTAATTGCTACTTAATTGTTCCACAAAGACACCTTGGTATGAAAGCACATAGAAGTCAATCTTTACTTGCTGGCAGAGAGAGTGTAGAAGTCGTTGCGCACTAAAATCAAACTGCCTGGGTTTGAGTCGTGACGATGCCAACTCACAGTGAAGTAATTTAGGGAAACTTAAATAACCTTCCGGTGTGTCGGCTTCTTTGTGTGCCAGGAGATTAACATAATGCCCACCTCACAGGGTTGTTGTAAAGATTTAAAGAGATAGCACAGAGAAAGAACAGTAGTCCTTTATAGACACACACACACACACACACACACACACACACACACACACACACACACACACACGGGCTTCAAAAACCTCCTGGGAAAATAGAATTTTAAAATTGACGTGAACTTTTTGAAGTTTCCTCAAACACGCTGTCTATCATCATCATTATTGGGGGGGGGGGATTAATATGAATATAGGGATCCCTTAGGGCAGAAATGAGTAAACCACTAACATAATTTAAACCCAGCAACCTCTTCTCATTATCACAGAATCTAGAGACTGCAGAAATAACCCTGAATCATGAAATCTCAGCAGTACTTTGCCTCTGCAGCTCCAGAGCCACCAATCTAAGCCACCTGCATTCGGAGTCCCATTCTGTTGTCTCCCAAGTGTTGAGGCCTCGTCTTGTCTAATGTCTACAGCTGCTGAGACGGCAATGTCCTCTCGGGACCCGATCTCACTGCAGGGCTGCAGAAACAGCTGAAATGTGCTCCAACTTTCTGCAGATCATTTTAATCAATGGACATCGGAATAGTGCCCCTGGTGGTCACCCAGGGAACAAAGTAAAAACATTACAGGTAGCGGGTCGGTAAATGCTACATTACTCCCTTTTTTCCAACATTAGATCTCTGGGTGACGATCTTTCCATCAAGAATGTAATTTTTTTTTTAAAGAAAAAGAATATAACTCCACCATAAATTAAGATGGATACAATAGAAAGGGGGAAACAATCAGAGCTCGTGAGTTTTTCTCTCTCTGCATGAGGCGGGGCTGTTAGTGTTCGCCACCTCAGCTTCTCTTCCCGCCGCACACATGGGATGCACGAGGAGAGGATAGCGCCTAGAGCCTTACAGCAGGAGGGCCACGGGCTTGCTGACTTTTAATCTGAAAAACAGCAGCACGAGTGACATGTTGACTTCTGGGTTGAGGCAGGTAAGAGTTGGTGTCACAGCCAAGTTCCCCTTTCTTGAAAAGCACACACTGGGAGGAGACACTGGCCTCCTGAGAAGAAGGACGCCTCAGTCCTGAGCCATAGACTGGAAACGTGCGTTCCACGACCCAGGTGGGAGGGAGAAGTGGACGTTGGCAGCGCTGTGCCATTGACCCTTTGGAGCTTATCTTAGACTACCCTCGCCGGATGGATGCACTGGGGCGCTTCCCTTTCCTCTCTACAGGACAACCAGCCCGGCGACAGGAGAGTGGGACGAGGCGTCGGAGAGTTAGAGAACACTGGTCATCTTCGGAAAATGGGGAAGAAACAGCTGGATCCCTCTGAGACAGCAAATCTGCTTCCTCAGGGAGCCTTGTTCCCCCCGCTGGCACCTTCGTGCTGGCGCGTCTTTGCAGACAAGTGAAGACATGTAGGAAGCCCTGCTTACCGACGTAACTGAGCATTTTCACTTCTTAGTGGCTGCATGGCCAGTGCTATTTCAACTTGAATGTTTGTGTTTCCACTGACTGCTGGAAGCAGTAATATGCACGCCTCCACTTCGGAAACCAACCTGTGAATTTCTGAATCCCCTATAAAAGGCAGAAGAAACGGGTAAAATTAATATTGCAATTGTTCTTGGGTAAGTTTCCTAGTAAGTAAGGAGCCTTGAACCCACAAACTGCTCCTGTACAGATCGACAGCCTTGGAAACCCCCGGGGGCAGACTCCATCCTGCAGGGTTGCTGTGAGGTGGAACGGACTTGATGACTCGTTCATTTTAGGTTTTTATTAGTATTCATTGGAAAAACTTGCGAAAAATAGCTATGTATCTACTTGCTATATATAAATTCAACCCTACTGCTTACAGGTCACACTTTCCTCTTTCCTGGTGCCTGTGTTGCTTACTCAGAAGAATTCTAGACACACTAAGGTCAGTAAATTAAAGATTAACTATAAATGACTGTATTAGCAATTTCCTTTAGTGAAAGAGTCTAGTAAAAAGGTACTTACGAATATCTACCAGCTTATATTTACCCGAGGACAAAACTGGAGCTCTGTTACTGCTTATCATAACATTGACAACACAGTCTTTGATTCTGTCACGACAAATCGTTTACCTTGGGCGATTCTTGGCAAAGCAGCGAGCATGAGGGTCTGTGAGTGAGCCGGTCTCACTGTTCATCTTACAATACTCGGTCCAATCTAGCCCGCCGTACCGCTTGTGCTCCTGCGGGCAGAGCCACTTCCTTTTGTCCCCTGCCCCCCTCTCTGGTTTCCTCACTCCCCTTTAATTAGAATAATACCGTATGCTACCTAAAGGTGGCAGAAAGCATATCTCCTAGGTTATAAAAGACGATCAGTTCTATAAGATATTTTAACACATTGATAAAAGATAAGGAATCCTTCACGAAGCCCACACAGAGAGGCTGTACTGAGGGGCTCTGGGAGCAGAGGCCTGAACACCACCGCTTTCTGGCAATATAACAGCATTCTCATTTTTTAACTCTTCAAAATGAATGTAAAAGACCTCATAAATATTCTACCAACGATATGCTAATATTTCAGCGATACGGGGCTGAGTAGATGACCTGAGTTCCTTCACGTCAAGGGTGGTCCCAACAGCATCTCAGAGGAGGGTTCAGTGAGGGGATGCGCAGGGCCTGGTGCCCAGCCAGCATCCACTGTGCAGTCGAGGAGAGCTGTAATTGTGACTGCTTCATTACCACCACGAGGAAAAATTTAGCCAAGAAACTGTTAATGAATTAAAGACCTGAAAAGGCAGCGATTGTAACACACTTCTGATGCTGGATAAATGGTGCTGTTTTTCCGTCAGCTACATTTGAATTTAGTGACGTTGCTGCTTTTTGGTCATTTGGTAAATATGATTCAGTCAGTACTTACACAATCAGTCTCTCAAGAGATCACATCCGTAAGACACTTCAAGAAAGCGCGGTTACGTTAGAGCAGGGGTCCTCAAACTTTTTAAACCAGGGGCCAGTTCACTGTCCCTCAGACCCGTTGGAGGGCCGGACTATAGTTTAAAAATAACTATTTACAAATTCCTATGCACACTGCACAGATCTTATTTTGAAGTAAAAAACAAACGGGGCAAAAACACCCGGCGGGCCGGATAAATGCCGTAGTTTGAGGCCGCCTGCGTTAGAGAGTGCACGCAGAATGCAAGCAAAGGCTCACGACCTGGCTCAGCCGTCACAGAAGTCCACCTACGGCATTTTCGTGATTTGACCTCACAAATTCCTGAAAGTAAGTTGCAAAGAGCATTCCCACAGAAGGTATCCTTTTCAAAGTGAGATTTGTTCCACTAGCAGGTGGTTACTACAGACATGATGAAGAAATTTCTGTACTTTCATGTGGGGCAAATAATCAGTCTATTCCCGAGAATTCATCAACTTTAGGGGCCTCCCATTCCTAAAATTTGGTCTGCACCAATTCTCTTTGTTCTATCTTTTCAAGGTCACTTTGGGATCAAGCAGAAGACTAAATGTTTGATATTCCAACGCATTTCAAATTCCTGGGGCAGGGGAAGGGTTGGTGGTGTGCGTGAGGGTGTGGACTCAAAACATGAGAAGTATAAAACAAGCAGAAGCTAGGCATCAGGCCCAGAACAGATCCCACACTCCACCCTGACTATTCTACCTTTAAACGATGGCTGTGTAAGATGACACTGCTCGTTAGCATAGGACCAACCACAGAAGAATATGGAGAAAGGGGTGCTCACCTTGGTCAGCTGCCAGGGCCTTGAGCTCTCCCAACAAATACTTGATCGTTCGAACTCGCTCCGTAGTCTGGTTGACGTTTTTCGCCTTCTGTGTGCCCTTGACAGCTTTTGCCTCTCGCACGCGTGCGTTCAAATCCTTGCTCTCCCTGACGTCCTCTCCAATGTGCTCCCTGACACAGGTTTCTTCTTGAGTGGCCAAGAAGGCTGGCTTGCATCGCTTGGGGCTTTGTTGTGCCTGACTGTCCAGATGAGTTTCTTTTCCATGAGAATGCAACAGAGACATATATGTCTGGAAACATTTGAGTAGGTCTGCTTCCTTAGAAATTGCTGGTTGTGGCAGAAATCCGTTAGCATGACCCAGGTGCTGATAGCCTGGGATCACAAGTGGATCAGGCCTGGGCATGCTGCATGGAGTCCTGGGACTAGTATTGAAGGAATTCCTTAGAACATCAGACGTCACAGAAGCCGTTCCGCCTTCTGATGCAAACTGGCCATCACTCTCAGTCTGCACTTCCTAAAGAAAGAAAAAAAATAGTAAGCTAGCCCTTTACAAGTGTGAGCGGTGACTTGCAGGCAGAGTGGTCGGAATAAACTAACACTTTCTCCAGGATGGAGTTACAGATGGCCCAGCCAGCAGGCTCGATTCTTTCTCAGTAAAGTACGGTCAATTTTATCAAGCGTAAGCAGTTCACTCTCTAATCTGGATACATTACAAGGCTGAGACTACGTTACAGTAGTTTGCAGATACTTCAAATCGCTTCAAGGCATCAAAAATTAGTTGTGCTCAACATCTGCACTTTGGGAAATTAAAAGAAAATAAACTCAGATACACAAAAAACTTTCACATAAACATACATACAGAAATTGTAGTATAATTCTGGCTGTTATCTAAATATCTAACCACAGGGGAGCAGTTATTGCAGGCTCTGGTATATCCACTAACTATAGTAATAACCAACCACTCATTAAGAATTTACAAAAGGCATATCTTAATAGAGAAATATGCACACAATAAAGTAAGTGACAAAAACAGTACATAAAACTCTATGAAGCTTAATTATAACTGTAATTTAAAAAGAAAGCAAACTTAACAGTAACCACTAAAGAAATCAGAAAACAAAGCCTTGCTGAGAATAAAATGTTTGAAAAGTACAATACCACTGTGTTATCAGAAACTGTGCTTGGGAGGGTGGGGTGGTGAATTCTTTTTTCTATTATTCTCTATCCCGGCCCCAGGGCACCTCCCAACACCCTTCTCTGCTTTCTACTCTAGCACTGTGCTTAATAAATAGGCACCATTTCAAATAAAAAACAAACTTGAAAATCACAGTGATGACATCCTATTGCATTGAGAAAAAGGCAGCGTCGTGGGTTACGTGCTAGGCTATGACCAGCAAGCTCATCAGCAGTTTAAACCCACTAGCCACTCTGAGAGAGAAATAGGAGCCTTTCTCTCCTGAAAAGATGTACAACTTTGTAAACAGGGGGCATTCCTAACTCTGCCCCATAGGATCAGAATGGACTCTATGACTCTATGAGTTTGGGTATGAATAGTGCACTGAGATATAATTAGAATATCCAATTTCCCTTACTATGATGACAATTTCTACACGCAAATAACTCATTATGTAGTATAAAAACGGTACCCACAGAATGAACCATTGGAGGGCAGGGTGGCGGCTGAGGTGACAGGACGGGGGTGGAGGTGGATAAGCCATAACTAGAACGTGGAGTTGCCTGGGATTCTAAAAGGTAAAAGGGAGAAAAAAACCATTCATGCCTCATATTACTTACACAATAGCCGGGCAATTTCATTAAAGCTTGCAGTCATGCTTCTTAAAACACAAT